AAGTCGCACCCCAAGTCTAAGCTAACAAGCGGCGGGTGCTTCCAAGCTCTAAGCTCTAAGCCTAAGCCCCGGCCAAGCCTAAGCCCGAGCGCTAGCCTAAGCCTAGCCTTTTTTTTTTTAAACTTAAACCTAAGCCCAAGCCTAAGTCTTTTTTAAGCATCCAGTTTAGCATCTTGGAAAAAATGTGGAACTAAACACCCCTCCCCCCGATGATGCATAAGAACCGTTTATTTCGCCATTTATCGTCAAAATTGAACCGTACTGTCCCAATAAACTAATTAACATTAAAATAAATTAAATTAAATCAAAATAACAAGGTTTTTTTGAAAAACGAACCGAATCTCCTCCGTGCTAACACTGCCAGGCAGACCACGAATGAAGACGGTATGCTTCGATTCGGGCACATCCTCCTCGTTGATGCGCTGGTGGTAACCGCCTCCGCGGCCGCCGCCATCACCTCCGTAGCTCCGATTCTGATAGCTGCCCCCGTTGTCGTAGTTGTTGTACGACATTTTCAGCGAGTTCGGCAAGTTCGACAAGTAAAAACAGTCGCCGGTCAAGATTTACCTGAAAAGGAAGAGTTCGGAATGATTTTTGAGGCCCAGGCAACTTCATAAAATTGAGAACGGCGGTCAGAAAAAATGCGACGAAACTATAGAATCACTCTTTTGCAGAATATTTTAAAAAGCTTGGCAATACTAAATATATTAATCCGAAAGTTATACAAGGCTTCACGTTTCTGGAAACGCAGAATCACTAGGAGACTAGCGTTATCAGGGTACACGGCTCGTAAGCCGGATCCAAAGAGCTTGGCGGGAAGATACAGTTCTTCTGCGGAAAGTTTAAGGACGCCGTGAAAAATACATTTTAAAAGGCTTCACACGAGCAACATTCACACTCAAAAGCAAGTCTCAAAAATAACGCGTTGAAAACGCAATTTCAGTGTTATTTCTGACCTTCACTAGACTAGAAACTACATTAAAATGAGGTACAGGAATAGGCTCCACAAATATACCCGGAAATCGACAGAAAATCGAAACACAGGGCCATTTTAGCAAAGCAGTTCCCGTAAGCCACGGTAACCAGGAGCAACCATTATGAATTCAGGTAATTCAGGCGCTAAAAGGATAAAATAAAGCAACAGGTGAATCGTAAAAGCCAGCGCCGGGAGAGGGGTTATTGTATTAATTAATCGAGGCCAGAAATTGGAGCTGCACCGAAATGGGAGAAGGAAAATAAATGTTTGAGTGTGGCGGGGCCGGGTGCCTCGGAACGTGGACAATCGATTCTACGCGGGGAGGGCAGAACGGAGGGAGAGAGAGAGAGGGGCGAATGAGAGGGGCAGTTAGGCTACTGCAACACCGCAGGCCATTTGTGGATAGCAGATAGCAGCTCAGGTAGTCGATTGATACTGATAGTAATACTATACTCACGAACGACACTAATGGTAATAACACACTAATAGTTGACCAGGTGCCTGACCTGACCTGACCTAGTTTGGCTAAAAATCTAGAAAACAAAGGAAGAACGAAGAATCTCCGGTACTGGACTGTTAGCGAGGGGGGATTGCATGGCATCGACCATCCACGAGCTGTCCGAGGATGAGGAGGAAGGCGAGCAGCAAACTTGGTACTACACTGCCAGCGGGAGGATTTCATCGCCTCCGCCATCAGGCCCAATCCGCCCGAGGAGGAAGAGGAGGAGGAGGCAGGCGAGTAGCAACCTGGTGCTAGATTGTTAGCGGTGGGGGGTTTTAGCGGGGGCCAAAACCAAATTTTTCCCAGTAGTCCCGTATGGCGCTATAACGAAGGACACACAATTATTAGCATTTTGAACCTTTTTTAAATTTAAAGTGGTCATAAAAAATATTTTTGAAACTTTTCGTAAGTATTTCGTAATTTTGGAAAATGAAAAAGCACGTAAAAGGGCAAAACTGTGGTTTTCGATTTCTGTTAGCTTCTAGCAATTATAAGCTGCCAAATACCCAATAAAAATACCTTCCATATTGTTAACCAGCAAAACTGCAAAAAATAGTTGCCGTCCTCTCACCAACCCCCCGCTAATAGTCCAGTACCAACTTAACCATGTTACAAGGTAAGATTAAATATGTAGTAACTTTCAGTAACTTATCAGAATTCATAGTTAATAGACCCTTGAAAATGTAGAACTGACACGGCAAAAGCATTATAATTGTGAATTCGTTTTTATAAACAGAACGATTCAAGTTAAGTTTTATTTCAACGGCAACAAAGAAACAACAAATGCAACAACAAATACCCGTAAAATAAAAAAAAAACACACGCGCAACAAGTTGACCAAAATAGCAATCTCTATTTGCTTTCTATTCGACGTTCTTGCGCCGCTTCAGCTCCTCGATCTCGCGCTTCATCTCCCGGTTCTCGTAGCTGAGCTGGCCGAGCAGCTGAAAAACATACGTTTCAGTTTTCAAAAACGAACGAACCTCTTTCTGCGCCTCTCGTTTTTTATCCGGTTCATCGGGAGTCTGAAACTTATATACAGCTCATAATTTTTGAATATACCTTCAATCTCTCTTCCGCTTTCCTTTCCGCTTCTGCGAGCTTCATCTGCAGTTCGCCAATCTCTTGGTCACGCTTCACAATCTGTTTTCGGAGAGCCTCATTTTCTTCGAGTAGATGGAGGTTCTGAAGCAAGAGGTTACGGTTCATTCTTGTATCAATTTTCATACCTGTGTTTGCAACAAGCTTTCAAGACCCGACGATGAGCTCCGATTGTCGGTTTCTGAAACAAAAAAGTGAAGCAATTGGAAGCTCGATCTTACCAGCTGCTTCACGCTTGATTCTTTTCCGAAGGCTGGTTGTTGTGTCTGGCGTTGGGGCCGGGTCTAGTGACTAAACGTAACAAAATCTTGAAAATCACAAAAATGAAAATACTTATATAGAAATTTCGGTACTGGACTGTTATCAGGGGGGTTTAGTAAGGGAAACAACCTTTTTATACAATTCGATGCGATTCGATGAACCTTTTTATACAATTCGATGCGGCTCTACACAAATTTTTAGAGCATTTTTGTTACAGTTTTCAGATCAATGCGGATAAAAAAATCTGTATTTCGTTGAAAATCTTAGACGTTTTGGTAAAAATGTATCAAAAACGTTAACTTTCTAGTTATCAAAAACGGCTAAGAACGCTATGAAAATTCATAATTTTTTATCAACAGGTCTAGGCAGCAAAAAAAAAGAAAAATGAATTTCCTATCTGTCAAAATCCCCCCCCGGTAACAGCACAGTGCCGAAATTTCGATAATTTCAAAGCTCACCTGATCGTTGAAAGATTGATCCTGATCATAGTGAGATGCCGTTTCGTCATAGGTCAGATTGTCAGCGTCAAGCTCTGAAAAAGTCGCCATGCTGTTATTTTTAGCAAATAAGTTGCATTGTAAATTTTGTAAATGTATACAATGCAGTACCTTCATCTTCATGCGTCTCATCATAGGCGCGCTTTGCGGCTGAAGCCTTCACGAGCCGCTGCGACCTTCGCGTGGGCTGAGCGGTGGAATCCTAAATTTTTTCGTATAAATTTCTTTAAAAACGAACGGTTTCCGCCCTATCTTCCTCATCATCGGTCAATTCTCCATAGTGCTCGTCCTCCCCGGAATCGTCTCCATCTCCATCTCCCTCTCCTCTCCGGTCATTTCGCATGCATTCCAGCGCGTATTTCAGCTGGTCGTCCTGCAGCGGGAAGCACTCTTTTGCACCTTGCATCAATTTTTTGTAGTAATCTGGGGAAGGGGGGAGAAGAGGGGCTCTGGAAGTGAAATTTTCAGGACTAAAACGTGTTGGACAAACCTGGTATTTACTGCCGTTCCCTTCGATTCATGCATGGATTCCTGGTGCCGGAGGATATGCCGAGGGGCCCGGCCGCGAAATTTGCACACTAAATTAAATATTTAAATAAGTTTAATGTTTATTTTAGATAATTGGACAATTAAATAATCTTCACGTTTGCATTTTTTTCATCTTCACCAAATCACAAATTCTCATGGTGACAGTTCCGCCTTTTCAAGATGTGACCAGCTACAGTAAAGTAATAGTAAGTGTTTTAATAATCTTTTTAGCAAATTTAAACATATTTTAATTAGAAAAACAATAAAAAAACTCTTACACACTTTTCATTTCAAATTTTCATCCAAAAATTGGTATTTTTCGTGCTTTTAATCAAAATTTGTGTCGATTCATCTATATATAAAAATGGCCCCTTCAAAGTTAGTTCCGTCGATAATGCGACAAAAAAACCAGTTTTTAATGCTTATTTTGCATAATTTGCCAAATACACAATTTACATATTACATTTCCGCTTTAATATTCTCGAAAGTTGAAACTCACGAGAGCATTTCCAGGGCCGTCCTCCAAAATGAGTGGTAACGTGGCGCAGAAGCGCCGATCCGGCTTGCGCTAAGATACGCTTGCCGCACTTCTGAATATGGTAGCATTTCTTTTTCGATTAAGTTATTAATTACCCTGCACTGATTTTCGATGGGCTCTTCGTCCAGCCATTCACGCTGCAGCGTTTGGTTCCGGATGCTGGCCACATTTTTCTTGATCTCCTCGGTCTGGAGCGGGAATCCGAGGCACGCCGTCTTCACCAACGCGTCGAAGTACTCGGGGGTGCTGGAAACAAAAAAATAACGATAGAAATGAGGCGGAAATATATTGATATCCGTTTTAACGAAATTTTTGAAATTCCGAAATTGGTTCTTTCGCATTCTTTGGGGATAAATTTTTTCCTATAAGCCCGGTTCTTGATTGGTTTTTGGCAAAATTTAACTAACTATTGACTGGAAAACAACAAAGAAACTTCCCAATTTTTTTTAGTTGAGAACTGGCCAGAAATCTGCCATTTTGGGTCGAAAAGTCGGTAATTTTCGTAGTTTTAATCAAAAGTTGTAGGGTTTTTACGCTTAAAACAGTACAAAAAGCCATGAAACCGTTCCGCTGTTTCTATTTGGAAGATCGAATCCTAGAAATGTACGTAAACTTACGACATGTCAATAACCGTGCCGTCGCCGCCGTGGTGACGTTTCTGATGGCGCAGGACGCTTCCTCGTTGGGCGGCACACTGCTTGCATACTGAAAAAAAAAAAATTGTAAAGGCGAATTTTTCATAATAATAATAATAGTAATAAAGACTAACCTGAGCACTGGAATCGATTCCAAGGCAAGTGCGACATCGAGTGCCAGACGATTCTTTGAGAGCTCCTGAAGGGTTCGAGTCCCGGCGCCACGACGAACTTGCAGTGCTAAAAAAACTTTTATGAAAAATGAAAATACCTGAAACTTGAAATCCTTCAAAAGAAAATACAAACCTCGCAAACATTTTTCTTGGCCGTGGGAGCAGGAGAGTCAGCTGATGGCGGCGTTACCGAGGCGGACAAGATTCTGGTTGGCGACAGGACCCCTTTGGTCATCTTGCGCTTGCCCGTCATACGCATTTTGCCTAAAAGCGGATGGAATTTGATAAAATTTGGGGTAAAACTCTCTTGGAAACGGAAAATTGGTCAAATTACCAGCTATCGAATGTTTTTCATAGTTTTTACTTATTTCTAGGCCATTATCATGGTTTATCTAACATTTTTCGGAAGTTGAAGTTCTAAACTTGATGTTTCTTAATAAGAAGACAACAAGGGAATCAGATCAATCTGATAAGATTTTCGTAGGACGCCCCGCCGCACCAAGTCGTTTCTCGCCGAATTTCGTGGCGTGTATCACGGGCCCGCGGATTCAAAAACGTCCACCTGGCCGCCGCCGCACCATTGGCGCCGTTGCCGTTCAAGGATTCGAAAAACCGGCGGAAACCTAGTGATAAACTAAATTACTGCTTGTCATTATCATACGATTATTACTGCTTGTCATTGTTACGGAAACATTTTGGGAACTAAATGAAAGGGCTTTCAGGAAGTAAAGCGAAAAACTACTTTTCTGTATTTCGTTTTTTCAGAATTTCGATGAGGAAATAATAGATTGTCTAAAATTTGCGATTCTGAAAAACGTTTGATGCTCTAAAATCCCCGTGAAAGTACCCCCATCGTAAATTCCGTGGGTCCGTAATTCCGTAAGACCGTAAGTTGGTGTGTTTCGTTTAGTTTTTTCGGTATTCGCAAATATCTGCGATCATAAGGAATTTTTGCATTGCGGTTTCAACTATTGATCACATTTCGACTATTTCTAGCGTTTAAGTGGATCAGTGACAGGAATTGATACTCTGGCCTAGCCCAAAAGTTCATGAATCTCAGATCATTTCTCAATCTCATGCTCTATCTTTCATACACAGCTCAGATCAGGCTCAAACCAAGCTACGGACGATTCTCCGACTTTTTCCTTTGTCAAGCTTGCGAGAGATCCCCTACTGTTTGACCAAATCTCCTTCCCAGGAGCAGAGAATTTGCCAAATTAGTCATTGACCGGACTACACTCAACTCGGAAAACCTCTAGTTTCCACCTAGTTTTCATCACATTTCCCAAAACCAAGCAGCTTTTCTTCTCTTTTTTTAGACCAGGATATTTGCCGAATTAGTCATTTAGTCGGAGGTGTACTACTACACTCTTTGATCGAGTCACCGTTGACCTTCAACTTGTCCAAAGGCCGCCACGGCGAGCAAAACTTGGGCTCCCCAAAAATTGAGAGCGATTTTTGTGCTCGTGCGTTTGGCAAATAACGGGTACACCCGAAAGGCGGGCGCAAAACAGGCGGGGAGCGGAAATTGAGGATAAATAGGTGGGGGAATCCGGGTACTCGGCTACTCTCCGGAAACAACGATCTGCAAACCAAACCAGCGCGATGAGATTGATTATTTTGCTCGCGCTTATTGGAGTATCACTCGCTATTAAATGCCAGATCACGATGAAGGATGAGCAGCCGTTGGATACGGTGGGTATTAGAGTCTGACTTACATCGGGTAACACTCCGGTCAACTCCAGATGACCCCGACGTTTGTATCTTGGTTTTGTATCGTTCAAGGCTGTAAAGTATAACAGAATGTTTGTCTTGTTCAGGAGAGTGTTTTGGTATACTTTACATCCCTGTAGGATAAAAAATTGCCAGGATGCAATAGGTTTGGGCTCACTTGAAACGTTAAAAGTTCAGAATGATTATCCATTATCAAATGAAATGTAAAATTATTATTATAATAAACCTGATTCGAGTTTCAAAAAACGCTGTTTGTTTTGTAGGGGTAGCTTTTGCGCAATTTCGTGGTAAAAACTAGAGTCTGGTCATTGAATTTATCCGAAATCCCAAACCAACCTTTTCCTGTACAGGGTGCGGAGAAAGTTTTGGGTGGCAGAATTAGATATGTTTTCTCAGATTGCGTGCTCCAACATGGGTTTTTTTGAATGGGAGATTAAAAAATGGCGACTTGAGAAACACTAAGCACCAACAGATCAACAAATTTTTTGAAATTTTCGGGAGCAAATGGACTGAAAGCGTCGCGCTAAAATCATCTTCGGCACGCAGCGCTATTGCTGCTTTTACCGTATGCCCTGTGTAACATTCTCGACCAAAATTGACGAAATTTGGTCAAGGTATTGCCAATCCTATACCCTATCACCCCACAAAATTACAAAGTATTTGGATTTAAATGCAAATAGTTCTGACGCTTTTAATTCTGAGAAATTCCCCTATCGGCATGGGAAACCGCTGCGAAGCTGGCGAGCTTACAGCCCATAAACCGCGAAGCACCACATTAATGATAGGTTAGGCATATGAATATTGTAAATCAGGAGTTTTGACGTCCAAATTTGGGGAAAAGACATTAAGACAACTCCAGGCTGGGCTTCACGAAAAGTTAAATAGCCTGAAATCGCGACACGCTGCTGATTTTCAACTCAATTGCGCCCAGGATTTAGCCAAGATGATCAAAAAATGTAAGATTTACGCAGGCTACTGCTTATTCCCTGTTTTTCATAATCCAAACCCTGGAAAGCCTGGTGATAGGATCCGAAGCATTATAACTAATATTTCATAGCAGCCAAATGTGTAACTTTCCTGGAGCCTCGTGTTTCCAAGACGATTCTCATGCGGAAAATAATTTTTTCAACCATTATGGTTGTCAGAATCGGATAGAGCACGTCCGAATCTATGTTGACACCACAAAATTAGCGCGGTATGGCTTAGAACCACAATTTTTCGAAATAAAAAGATGCCACCCAAAACTTTTTCCGCACCCTGTAAATCCAAAAATGCCTCATAGCTTAATGAGAAGTATTGTAATACTGTTTTTAACAAAATTTAGCTACATTTTGATTACAAAAACACTAACAAATTCAGGAAAAAGTTTTCTAGTCAAAAAATTGATCGAAAATCGACCATTTTTTGTCGAAAAATCAAGATTTTTTGTTCTTTTTAATCAAAACTTGTTAATTTTTGTGCGCTTAGGACTAGTAAACAGTTTAAAAACGGTTCCCTTCCTTATTAGAAAATTTTATCCTAGGAAAACAAGTTGAAAAACTCGAAAATTGCAGCCCGACGAGATTGACTGCGGCGACGACTGTGACTACTGTATGTTGCACCGGGAAAAGTAATAAAAAGTATAATCATTTCTATGAGAGAAAATTTAGGGGCCCCAAGCGGTTTGTGCAAGAGCGCGGGTGCGGCTGCGGGGATAACGCGCTGCACGTGCACGCCGGGTGGGACGAGCCGACCGAGTGCACCGTGGGTTTTAAAAGCTTTTGAAAGTCCAGAAAATAAAATAAAAACCAGATTTTCTCTTTAATTAATAACTCGAAAATTCAAACGATTTCTTGTAAAAAGCGAAGTATTTCAGGACGAGGGCACGCTCAGCACCTCCGAAAATGGGATTGCCATGTATGACGCATGCTGCGAGGAGTTTTCTTGTAAATAAAATGGAAGCTTTAATAAAGTTCGATTTTTCCACTTGAATTCTTAATACAAAAAATTGTTTTTTTATTTATTGGAACTTAAAATCAGAAAAAAACATCTTACACATATGGTTTTCGTTTACATACATGTTTTAGTTAAAAAACCCAACCGAAGCCGAGGCCTAGGCCTAATCCTAAGCCCAGCCTTAGCCAAGCCTAAGCCAAGCCTAAACCAAGCCTAAACCAAGCCTAAACCAAGCCTAAACCAAGCCTAAACCAAGCCTAAGCCAAGCCTAAACCAAGCCTAAGCCAAGCCTAAACCAAGCCTAAGCCAAGCCTAAACCAAGCCTAAGCCAAGCCTAAACCAAGCCTAAGCCAAGCCTAAGCCAAGTCTAAGCCAAGCCTAAGCCAAGTCTAAGCCAAGCCTAAGCCAAGTCTAAGCCAAGCCTAAGCCAAGCCTAAGCCCAGCCTAAGCCAAGCCTAAGCCAAGCCTAAGCCCAGCTTAAGCCAAGCCAAGCCTAAGCCAAGCCTAAATCAAGCCTAAACCAAGCCTAAGCCAAGCCTAAGCCAAGCTTAAACCAAGCCTAAGCCAAGCCTAAAACTAGGCCTAAGCCTAAGGCGGAAAGATCACAATTAGCTTTCCCCCAGCTAACAGAGAGTACCAGAAAACCTCGAAACTTAAACAAGTGGCGGTCAGAAAAAAGATTCTTTAGAAAAACTAAATCTATGATATCTTGCTTGTATTTGGTTGAAAAGGTGTATTTCAGACGTATTTCCACTTTTTCACGTAAATATCTCTTTATCCTCCCACGAAAACACACAAATATAGATATTTAATATATAAACAAAAATCTTTCGCTATAATGACAAAATCATACAGTAGGATAAGGCCACGAAATCGGGGGGTTTCGGCGCAAACGGACATTTTATAGCATAGCACGACTTGGGATAGGCGGGAGGGGAATATGGCAGAGAAGTCGAAAAGTATCACATAAAATGTGCAAAAATATCGAAAAAACAAATTTATAAAATGAAGAAAATAGCAGGGAATGGATGGGATTCGTTTTTGGGTGCGAGGGGAATTGTGAAAATTGCTCAGGAAATGTTATAAAAAATAGGAAAAAATATTTGAATTTTTCTGGCGGGGACCCGGAGGGTGGGCGCACATTTTTGGGGCGCGGTGATATCGGAGAGGTGAGTTTTTAGCGAGTAATTGCCTAGATTTACAGTAGAAAATTGCTAGAAAGATTTTTTAGATTTTTAACTCATCAAAAATATGAAAATACGAAAAATAGATTTTTCTCAATTTTTAAAGGGACAGAGACGTCAAAATCCTGAGAAAAGCTTTAGTAACTTCAAAACACCAGATTTGTGTATTCAAAATCTGGGTTTAGCTTTAATTCAATTGAATTTATTTTACTGAATTTTGCATTTTTATAAAAAAACCAGCGCCCAAAACCCGCTTCGCGGGCCTTGGGCGCTGGAATGCTGCCCTTGCATGAGAAATTGACTTTCCGATTGCTTGGGTCCTTCGGACCCCCGCTCCCCCCAACCGACCACACACGCGAGCGCAACTTGTAAGAATGAGGAAATTTCTATTTTTCACATTATGCAAATTAGCCCTCAGGGACCCCCAAAAATGAATAAAACCGGCTTTAACTTTGCAAACTTGTATTTTATCGTAGTTTTGAGAACGCCATCGGAAAGAGGAGGGTCGATTCCCCCGAGTGACGAAGAATTGGGGCGTTTTGGAAACGGGAAGGCCCTCAAAGCGGACCTCGAAACTGACATCCACACACACACACACAAAGATACACAACAAAATTATATAAGGTCGGATGGGCCCAAAAAATCTATGAAAATGTTTAGCTTTTGAAAAATAAAAAACTAGTATCATTTTCCTATGATTTTTGGATCTTAGCAGTTTTTTCCGATTCGAAATCGTATATACGGTATCGAAAAAACGAATTTTATTCTTCATTTATTAAAATGTTGACAATTCTGCCCCTTTAAATTCTACCAAAAAAAATGTCGTTGAAAGATCGGGAGGGTGAGAATCGAACCTTCGGCCACGACAGCAACCTTGGATTCCGCAGGGCTACACTACGCGCATCAGTACACCCAGCTGACGGGCAGCCACTGTGGGCTGACGTTCAGCTTCTCGACAAGGCGCTCACGCTGCGCGATCGTCTCGTCGATGTCGTTGTTGACGATCACGTAGTCGAACAGGTGGCCGAAGGCTTGGCGGAGGATTTCCGATTCTTTCAGGAGGCGTTCCAGGGAGCCGTCGGGCTGGAAGCATAATTTCGCCTTATACTACCTTCACATTTTTACGATAATATCTCAAAAACAACTAGCAAAGATCATATAAGAAGATTTTGATTTTCAAGGCATTTGTAAAGCAAAAACTCACATCTTGCAACCCTTGCAAATTCGGCGCGGCAATGAAGACGACGAATGGTGAGTACTCGGCGGTCCGGAGGACCTTTAGGGCTTGTGGCTCCACATCCAATATCGCCACTTTTCCGCTCTTATGGATATTCCGAATCGTCTCAAGTTTCGTGCCGTACATGCTTTCCTCATGCGTGCCTGGAAATCGCGTGTTTTTAACGATAATCTTCTCACAATCTACCAAAAAACACGTAATTTGCGATTTCTCTAGCCCGGTAAAGCGTAAATTCGCAAAAAATTAGTACTATTTTATATATAGTAAGACCTCAAAAATAACTCACCATACTCCAAATACTCATTATTCTGAATATCGACCATCATCTGCTCGTTGGAGACGAAGAAGTAGTGCTTGCCGTCGAGCTCGTCTTTTCGAGGTTGCCGGGTGGTATCTAAATTGCTTTATTGCTAGCTGATTAACTTTAAGGGGATCTGGACGAAAAATTACAGTAGTTTAAAACTTGCAAAGTGTCATAAGTAATACTTACGTGGTATCGGATATGCAAATCGCTGCGGGTGGCGGTGGATGAGAGTGTTTTTGATGTGTCTTCGGCCAACGCCATGGGCGCCAAGGAGTACCAAGGTTTTTCGGCGGTATTGTGACAATCGCATTACCTGTAAAAGCGCCTTAAACTTTTCATAAATAGATTATCGACATTTTAAAGGTATGTATATCGACATTTTAAAGGTCATAAATAGATTATCTTGTGCTTGTGCCACTACGTAATACACCTGTAGACAATACTGTATGACTCCGAAATCAAGATTTCTGATACGTTAAAGCACAGTTTTCATACCTCCTCGTATGTCACCAGGTCGAGCTGGTCAAACAGAGTCGAATGTTTCTGAAGGTACTTGGTGGAGTAGTACTTCTTCTTCTTGTTGAACCACATACAGTGCGCGGGGAGGCCTATAATGATGGCCTACGGGGAGGTTCTACACTAATTTTGGTTAAGTTAGCCTTAAAAATAACAGCAAGTCAAAACAATGGTAAAAAAGTCAAAGAAGCGCTGAAAATCAAGGAAAGCAGATTTTGGACCAAAGCTATGCGCGGAGACTCCGTACATGTTTAATACAAGATAGAAACGTTACAAATATAGTATACCACGTACCCGATCCTTTAAAATAAAAACTGGACAAAAACTTACAAGTATCCTTCGCCCGTTCCATCGCCAAACAAGCCGTTCGCCATTCTTGGAGCTCGGGACTGGGGATTAAGCCGGCTGTTGTCTAAAGCAATGTGTCGTAGTCATAAGTAGCATAACGCAATAATTACTTTTTTAGATACCTTTAACAATTCCTAAATCATGAGACTCACTTGGGCCTCTTTATTCGGGTTTCCGAGCCCGGGAAACCCGGAGATGAACCGCGCCTGCCACCAGTTGTGGTCGTCCTTGGAGATCACCTAAGAAGAGGGCATTAATGATACTAAAAAGTGTTGATCTTGTTAGTGGATAAATATATAAAATTATGTAGTTTACCTGCAGAATATCGCCTGTCTTAAACGCCATCCCAGCCTGGGGACAGGGTATCAAGTCATCCTGGCCGGGCTCGTAGTCGAATTGGGCTCGCACGAATATTTCACAGGCGGGAGGGGCCGAGCGGTAGGAGGGCACGATTTTGAAGGTTACCTAGAATTATAGAAGTTATAAAGGGAATTTCATAAATTATATGAGGGGAGTAAGCTTTTTAATTAGGGTGTAAAAGGCCAAGAAGCTAATAAAATATCGACAGCGCGGATACCAAGTCTTTTGAGCGCCCGAAAATGAGGACAGCCGCTTGCAGAAAGAAATTGGAAACTTTAGCTTCAGCTTAGAGTATTATCTTGCTGTCCTGGTCCCTTTAAGATCGTTTTTGCTCCAACCTGTCCTCGTGCGTCCCTCAACATTTGCTGCAAGCTTTCGACTGATCGATGGGCTACGGAGACACCGTTGATTTCTCGAATCTCATCTCCAACGTGTAGGGTAGCTAAACGGAATCGTTAGTTAAGAAGAGCTCAAAAGGTATCGTAACGTAACAACCGGTTAAAAATCGGCAATTGCACTATTAAAATGTGAACATAGTTTTTGCTTACCTTGCCGATGTATCATCCCGCCGTGCATGATCCGCGCCACGAAACAGCGGCCTTCCTCGGTGACCTGAATTAATGATTTAGGAAGTTATATAAGCTTTACCGAGTTTTAACCGTCATAAAAATACTACCTAAAATTTATTATATATAATATGTAAAATTATATAAAATTACAAGCAGGAATAGTTAAGAGCCATCTAACCCGACAAACTTACTTTTAACGTGATCCCCATCGGCTCTTCGGAGTCTTTTTGGAATTGGACGAGACGTACTCTTGAGACGGAGTCCATCAGAATATCATCGTCATCATCGCCTAAACCCATCGTAATCGATTCCGAAAAAAAATTTGATTTCGATTGCCAGATCCGATAAGGGTTTCAATTTTTGGAGTACGCTACGCACCTGTAAACGACGTCGGTAGATAGTCTTCATGGCTGGTGCCGGCTCGTTGAGCGCCTAGAGGTAGAACACCTCCATTTAAATATGAGAATGGGGCATTGGGATCCCGTTGGGAGGGAAGGCCCGTACTCGATGACATCGACCGGCAAGCGTCTTGTGAGGCACAGGCTGCACTCTGGAAAGCGGTGGTTTAAAGGAGTTTGAAAGGGTGTGTTTTTGTCGCATTTGGGAGCGAGAGTGAGAGAGAGGGAGAGAGAGAGACAGAGAGATATATAGTATTTGAGAGAATTAGAGAGATCGCGCCGTGAGCAAGAGCTGGCGAGAACGAGCGAGAGAGAATGAGAGAGGTCTCGAGGGAGCAACGGCTCGCGAGAAAGCGCAAAAAAGCGTGAGTTAGAGAGTCAGTGGGAGAGAGACCTTATTTTTGTATCCCATTTAAACACTACTTGAAATCCTCATAATGCATGAGTTCCGCAGCGCCCATTCTAGACAAATCCCAGATGCATGGCGGGTTTTTTGGCGGAGAAAATGGCTGCGGCGCCCCTGGGTATTTTTTGCCACTGCCGCGCTAATTTATCGAGTTGTTCGGCGCTGCTCGGAGGTATCGAAAAAAGCGGGAGAAGCCGAGAATTTGTTTAACTTTACTGGCGGGGGTATCGGAACTTATGGGTGTCAGGAAAACGACTGCTAGAATGAAGGCTTATGTGATTTGCAAAATCCCATCGGGTTGGAGCGCGGGGGAAAAAGCCAAAACAGGATTTCTGGTTTTTCTCAACTAAACAATAAAAACCGCAAAAAGAATTCCAAAATTAAAGCTTTTCAATGCCTTTAATATCTAGATTCAAAAGTTCGGAATTCCGCATTAATGGGTTTACTACATTTGACTACAAAAATACCGAAAAACCATTAAATAATACTCACGAAGTCCTTTGAAGAAGACAAGACCTAAAACGCAGGGATCCCAGGCTGTACGGCTACTTTTGAATCGATTAACACACGAAAAAAATTAATTTGATAGAGTTCCCTCAGAAAAGAGCTGGCTGAGACCCAAAAATTTGACAATTATCTTGCGTTTCGGTGTACTTCGCCACGGACAGTTGCCCGATTTTTCAACCCCCATTGCCCCCAGGGATGAGAGAGCATTGACCAGGGGCCCAGGGGGCCACTGGATGAATCCATTTTCCGGCTGTCACATTGAGGCCCTCCTGGCCATCGGCTTGTGTGACATTCGGGCACCGGCCGATTAGCGCCTCGCCTCGCTAGTCTAGGCTAGAGGATGGGAAAACACTAATCTTAAGGGCCAAGGTATCTTTTTTAAAGGAGATTATTATCAAAAATGCGAATTTTTCACTTCGGCTAATAAAAGCTTGACAAAAACGTTATCCTATTAAATTTGAAGCTTTGAAAACAAAGGAAAATATGGCAAAAACATTAAGGAGTCAAGAGGATTTTTCTTAGGAGGCGGATGGCTATGGAAAAAAATACAACACCTCGAAAATGGTCAATTCAAGGTTTCCTTTATGCAGAAAACAAATCCAGACTGTGAATTGGTGCAAAGATCACGATTCGACATCAATAGAAAATTATCAGAACTCAAGAAAAAAAGTGCTTTAGAAAAAAGATAAAAGTTAAAGACTAACCGTGGAAGGCTGCTGATCCAGAAGCTGATGCTCCTGGCTCGTCCCCGGGCCATTGTAATCGCGTTCTGCGCCGTACACCTCTTCCACGACAACGTCGAGGGCTTGCAGTGAGGCCTGAATAAAATCAAGATATGCGGAATTGAATGGATCAAGATATCAAATACGTTTTAATCGGTAGTAACTCCAAAAGGTTACTACGAAGAAAAGCTTTAAAAACGCTAAAAAACGAGATTATGGCATGATAAATCCATCGAAATTACATAATTTAAGTTATGCCAAGCCTAGACTAAATTAAAGTATAGTTTTTAACGTATTTTAGCGGAATGTAATGCTAATTACGATATGCCATTGCTAAACTAATTTTTACAAGATCAAAATCGATAGTATCCAAAAACTCACAACAACATCGGTGTACTGGAGAAGTTGCCGTAATTCTAGAGACTCTGGACTGGGCGATAGCAACGTTTCTATGTACGAGACGGTCTAAAAAATAACAAACTTAACGAATTACGATATTAAAATATTTAGAAACAGAGAAGTCAGAAAAATACCGCTACCTCTTTCGACAAAATCGACGCATCTTCCCCGCAGACGACGGGCCGGGATTGGAGTTGTGAGATCTTTTCCTACAACTGGAAAAATAGAAGATAATTGGTGTTATAAAAATTAATACGTATTTTTAGATATCTTAAAGCACAATTTTCTGCCCGGAACCATGCAATTCAATTTTTAAAAACAAGAAAATTCCACATGACATCACAAAAGATTTTTAAGGAACGGAACATGCTTATTTATCTAAGCAAATAAGAAAGACTCAAAAAACCGTGGCGATACAACTAATGACAATTTTGAAAGTATAGTTATGGATCATGCCATTTTAAAGGAATACATTCAAAACAAAAATACAACAACTCGAAAATGACGTGGAAAATTCACAAAGTCTCGCTGCCTCACCGAATTCCGCAACTGTACGGTACAGACGGCCGATTGGGTGGCTATCACCTCCTCCTCGGACTCCTCATCCCTTGCGGATTGCAGCCCGCTGGGCCCCGGCCGATCGTCGTCCGGAGGAATGTCCCGTACCGCCTCGGACCCGTCCTCCATTTCATGGATGCCCCCGGGTCTAATGGATGGAGTAAGGTGGTGTACAACGCGAAATGAAGCTGTAAGAAGATTGAAGAGAAAAGCGAGGAAATTGTTTAGAGTATTGTACCGAAAACTAGCAGAGATCATTGAGGAAACCTCTAACGTATCAGCGCGTAGCGGATAAGCGCAAAATTTTAGAAAAAATTGGAGCATGACGGAACTATGCCTTCCTTGAACGTAGCGTCCAGAATCGAACAACGCTAGTCAAGCTACGCTACGATACGCGTCACTACGCGTACGTACGCCTTGATGCGCGACGAGGAGCATACGTAAAACTACGGAATAATACTCCTATGTACGTTTCGCTACGCTATGATGCGCCCCGCTGAAACGAGACGTTCCGCAGGAATACGCATAATTACGCTTCGTAACTTACGTTAGGATGCGCTTGGAAATTAAACAACGCCTAAACCTAAACCTAAGCCTAAGCAAAGCCTAAGAAAAGCCTAAGCTTAAGCCTAAGGAAAACCTAAGCCCAAGCCTGCCTAAACCCAAGGCTAAGCCTAAGCCTACGTCTAAACCTAAGCCTAACTTAAGCCAGTTTCCAAGTCGTTTTACAAGAGAAAATGTGGGTAAACAAAGAGAGAACGGGCTCGTTCCGCTGGAGTATGAGTTCGACTGGCGAGTGTGACTTAGTGGCGGGCTAAATGTTGTGTGGAAGAAATCGGGGAGGAGAGAGGGAGAGAGAGAGAGAGACCCCGAGAAAGACCCCCCCCCGGGAGAACCCAGGCCAAATTTCGGGGCCTAAGGCTCTGGGGTGGGCCGCCCAGGCAGAGGCTTAGGACCCAAGGGCCCAGAGCCGAGATGGCAACGTTTGTGGGGTGGGGGGAGTGAGAGCCATCGGCTTCTTCTTCAGCTTCTTCGTCCCTTCAACCCCCCCAACCCCCCGATAACTAGCTTTCCATTCGCACCACTCGCTCCTGCTTCTTCTCCTTCTTGTCGTGCTCCTTCTACGGCTTCTCCTTCTCTTGGGACGCACGGCGCGACAAGTAGCCCAAATTCGGGGGGAAAGTTGCGCCTGGCGGGAGGAGCAGCAGCAGGAGGGGAGGAGGAACGCTTCAAGACCCGACCCAAATCGATAAGTTTTGGGGATCTGATGTTGTTTGGCGGGTTTGGGGGCTTAAAGGAGCCCGGAAGGCAACAACCCCTTAAACTTTTGAATCAACTTTTGAAGTGGCGCTGCCCCTTTTAATTAATGTTTAAAGGTATGGTGCTAGGCAAAATTCGCTGGAAATGACGATTTCCACGCAACATCTATTTACGGCCAAATTAAGCCAACTCCCACCTTTCTCCCAACCTAGGGCCAACCGGGTAAATGAGATTAGGAGCGGGCTGGAATCGAGCCTCCCACGAGTACCCTAACCGCCTATTCCAAATCGGCACTGAGCCAGGGGAACGCTTTGTCCATTAACTCGTTTCCGGTTGCTTCAAGAGAGAATCTTGAGGTCGCCTTGCGGCGTCCGTGTAAAATCCGGATGCTATCATGTTTCAGAATGCAAGATGTCAAAATGGATTGATTTCGGGAGCTAGCAAAGGTTTTTAAGACAAAATTCAGCTAGCAGAGAAATCTTTGGAAACTGGAAGGCAAGCCAGCAAAGCTTTTTGAGGAATCTTCATGGAGGCTGGCAGCGATATTAAAGGAACAAGCGAGCCGAGATTAGGGAGGTAAGAAGAGCAGCTGGCAGAGACCCTTTAACACGCAGAGAAACAAGCTAAAAGATTGTTTTTAGGAAATTTAAGGGCAAGCTAACGGATTTTTTAGGAAGTTCAATGGTAGGCTAGTTTATTTAGGAGATGTGGGGGTAACCTAGCAGCGATCCTTTAACGAGAAGCGTGAAGCACTAAACCAGGATTTGGAAAATTTAAGGGCAGCCTAGCAGAGATTCCTTAGAAAGGACGAGGGCAAGCTAGCAGAAATTTTTTAAGAATTATGAGGGCAGGCTAGCCAAGGGCTTTTAGGAAATGGGTAGACAAGAGAAGAGAGATTCAATACAACGCAAGCTAGCAGAAACCCTTTCAAAGCATCATTTTTGGGTGTAAAAGCAGCAGACAAGGCATAAGAGCAAACTAGCCGAAGTACTTAAAAATAGGCAAACTAGCACATATCCTTTCGGAATTCGGTGGCTAGGGCAAGCTAGCAGAAACCTTTGGGGACGCTATTTTTGGCCCAAAACCATCAAACAAAGGCCCTCCCGGACTCAGGCTCTCCTTTTCAAGTTCTTCCAGCTGCGGCTGTAATGTGTATGTGTGTGTATGAGAGAATGGGATTTGATGTGGTCTTAGGGCCCGGGCCAAAGGAGAGGAGACCCAGCCTGGGGGGGGGGGCACCAAGCAGCTGACGGGGATGAGCTCAAGCTCCCCGACAGGGCTCAGAACGCGTGAACACGTTGCAAATGGCAATTCTTTGCCACTCGTGCTCAGGCAGCTGAAATGAGACTCGACACTTGACAGCCAAGGGGGAGGGAGAGGTGGCCGGAAGTGATCGGAGAAGCAATAACAAACTCGGCAGTTTCAGGGGTGGGCCAGAGTTTGGTTGGAAGTTTTAAAGGGACTAGGAAGTGCCGAAATCTATCCCCAAATTTCAACTAGGTGTGAACAGCCATAAAAAATGCCGCAACCTGTCTTTTTGGTGTCTTGAGGTTGCTAAAAAATTTAATTCATACCGTGACGTTTCAAATTTTGTCGAGAACTAGTCGACTGGAGGGGTCGATTCTGTCACTTTCCCGATCCCGGCAAGTGGCGTATAAACCGGGATTTTAACTTAAGCCAACAAGTAGGTAAGATGAAGATCTTTGAGAACAAGGCAAATTAAGCAAATTACGTGATAAAATTACATACGTTAATAAGTATAGCTTTTTTATTGCTTAAATGTTTTATGCAAGACTCAGAATGAACCCTAAGCCGTGAAGCGGATGTAAGCTTATCCGAGGAGTTCGCGAAATCCTAAAAAAACTTCGCACCGAACCAGGCGGAGAAGGTATCTGGGCTCCGAAAAAGTGAGGGAGAGAGGGAGGGAGAGCGATAAAGCGAGAGAGCGAGAGAGTGAGAGAGATAGAGAGAAGGAGAGAGAAAAAGAGAGGACGAGAGATGGAGAGAGAGATAGAGAGCGAGTGAAGGAGAAAGCTTAGAAAAGGTCCAGGAACGCGGATCAGGTATCAGTGGAGTTTGAGCAAAACTCAGGAAAAGTTCAGAGCAACACTTTGGAGCCTCGTTCTCACTTTTAAAGGAGCATTAATGAAATTAAATACGGCAATATTGATACCTTTAAACGTCAAAAATCCGCATAAAGACGACTAAAACAAACATAAAACAGGGTACGGTACTTTAGACGTCAAACCATGTCAGAACCACGCCAAAAACAAGCAAAAATAAACAAAAGCTACAAACTGCAAAAATCTGACTACGCAACATGCCAGAAACGTGCAAAAACCATGCAATAAATGCAAGGACGCGAAAAAGAGATGGCTTAAATATCGAATTTTCGACAATACCGTAATACCCTATATTTTTAACATACGGGTATGGTAGGGCTGGGGGTCGTGGTGTTTGATGGAGTGTCGATGGGGGTGCGAGATGGGCCCGGGTTCGGTTCCACCTCGTGCTCCTCCTCCTCCACCTGATGCTCCGTTCTTTGGCGCGCCGCGTAGCTCTTCAGCTCCTCCACCAGGGTTTGAAGAAGCGGATCGGCTGCTGCAGGTCGTCCCGGTAGCACTGCTCCCGTTGCACACCAGCGGCTGGTAGTGCTCGGGGGCTCGCTGGAGAGGAGGAAATACGTGACAAATGCGTGAAAATTTGCCTGCTAGGTTCCTTAAAGGGGCTAGAAAGCGCTAAAATTTACCTTTTTTAAAACTAGGTCTCGACAGCTATCTGAGATCCGATAATCTTTGAGCGAAAGGAAATAGGAAGCTGGAAACACCACCCTGCAGCGACTAGATCTCGATAACTGCGCGACACACCAGTTTACGATTTTAAAATCAATCTAGATGCGCATTTTAGAGTGCGCGTACCTGTCCAAGGCCTATCGATGAAAGAGGTAGGTTTTTTGCACTTACAGCCACTTTAAAGTCGAATAAAAGCCCGGCAATTGACGCCTTCTAGCGGCTAGGTTTCGACAACCATAGGTCTTTCAGAAATAATTGCTAAAAGGAATTTTGGAATCAATAGTAGCTGTCGAGACCTAGTGGCCAACAGGTGTAGATTCCAGCGCTTCCGTCTCCCCTTAAAAGCAGCGAAATAGATGGATCGCAAAAGACTAAATCGACGGTTTTGGTTAGCTAGGTTTCGCTAGCTACGAAAAACATCAAAATACGCGTGAGAAATGGTTTGTACAGTTTTCGGAGCGGCACGTAGCTGTCCACACCTAGACTGAGGATGAAAGGGTAGATTTTTCGACTTCATTGCTTCTTTAACGGGCCGAGAGAGTACGATCATCGACCCTCTCTATCGACTAGGTTTCAACAGTTACGCGGGAAGCCTAAATACGTCCTAAAAAATACGTCAGCCCGTTTTTTTGGGAGTCGCGGACTTCGAGACCTAGCAGGCAAGACTAGCCGATTTTTGCACTTAATGCCCCCTTGAAAAACGTCTTGCTGACGCTCCTCACCTCGTGGTACCGCTGAGGCGCCGTCGGCGAGCAGTGCTGCTGGGCGATGTGGTGATGATGATGGGCCGAATTTTCCGCGTACACTTCGGCCTCTTCCGGCTCCTCGTTTACCACACACTCCTGCCGGCTGCCCTTCTTGCTCCTGTGGGCCTCCTGGCAGCCGCCGCACTGTGCCCTGCGCCAACTTCGCCGCTTCTCGTGGCAACAGAAGCCGCGATCACTTAGAATCCCGACGCACACGACGCAGACAGTAAAGACCAAAAACGAGCCGATCAGCGCGGCGAGCAGGAGATTCTGGTAGAGAATCGAGTCCATACGAGGATGGACTAATGGGGACGACTTCAAGGAGTTCAGA